AAAATTCAAAAAGATGATCCGACTACTGTGGTAGTCATGGTGGACCATGGTGACCAGTGACTGAAATGTCGCGATTCTTTAGAATGATTAAAAGAAAATAAATAAAAAATATTTTTAACCACATGGGTAACTAGATTTTATATTATGAAATAAAAATTGCACTATTCGATGATTAACGTTTTGAATTAAAACAAGATATATCGCAAAAATCAAATACCACGGTATACCGTAATTCGAAAAATTCCAAAATGGTAGTACACCACGATTTTTAATGTTTCTCGAGTAACTTAAAAGCAATATATCTCGGTGAAGAAAAATCGTCCGATTATAAATCAAATTTGATTTTACAGGGTAAGATATTTATTTGAAAAAGATTAGTATCATTAGAATATTTTCGTAAACATAGCAAAAATCGGTATTTGTTATTTATTTATTTGTTAAACCTGATATAGTAAACAGTTTTTGCTGCCAGCTTCGAATTCAGCGCATGAAGATATGTAAGGAGTCTTTCGAAATTTTCGAAAAACAAAATCTCGTTGATACGTTTTTTTTTGTTGTCCTTTTATTGGGACCATTTTCCACGTATTTTAAACGAGTAAAATTTGTAAAAAAAAAAATTGTAATTAATATCCTTTTGTATTGGTGATGTGGACGAATTTTCCACTTTTTCGAATGATGCAAATGGGTTAAGGATCGAACACATACGAATACAACATATGCATGCAGTTGCACTTGTTTCAAGAAACGCTGAAAAGTACAGACTGTGCTATTATTTTGTAAACGTACTAAAATTCGCAAACATTCGATTGCAAGCAAAACTGAATTGCAAAAGCAATTACAGAAGGAATGACCAAAAATAAGAAATAATTATTTGGAAATAATAATAGGATAGATATTACAAAACTAGCTAAATTTATAAAATTAATTTCTTCAAAATAATAATTTCTATAACATGTGCGGATAGTTTTGTGATATAATACTTTCTCGTTTTCTAAATATCTATTTGCTATATTAATTTGTAAATTTCTTATCGTTTCATTCATCTTTGCCTTGTCGAATTCCCGACTGAACGCATAATTTCCTGACTAACTGTATAGATTGCAAGTCTGGAACTCTATCGTTAATTCGAATAATCGATCGTAGTATTTTTTGACCAAAGCTATTGTAAAAATAGCACATCTGAACGTCAGCATTCCAGTCGTCGTGGCTCGGTTGTACTCAGAAGCTCGTTCAAAAATTATTTCATCGAATTTGTCTTAGGAGCAAAATTGATTTAGGTGACCAATTGATTTTAGAAAAGTCACGACTGGAAATTACATCGATACTTCCTGTTAACACGTTGACTACCATGGTGGTCATCAGTGTCTCACAATACTAATTCTTTAAAGTTATATTTGTTTTATTCTAACCAATTTTTGAACATTTGATAATTGAACAACGCAAATAAATAGAAAACATTAATAATTTGCACTACTTCTTTTTTCTCTGCCATACTGTTTTATAATTCAACGTTATAGCCTAAGAGTATTATATCCTAAGTAAGTGGCGCCCCCTGAGCGTACCATATAAAAAGTGCGTAGCAGTCAAAGTGTTGAGTAACACCATAGGGCCCCATAAGCTACGTGGAAAATGGGCACAATTTCTTTGCAGCTTCTTTAAATACATCTAAAGGTACTTTTAAAGTATCTATATGCATATTTAAATAAGTATTATTTAAGCATAATTGAAATTAGAACTAGAAAAAGAAATTGGTCTCCTATTTAGTGAAGGTTGATAAACATTTTTCATCGATTTTACTTAAAGTTTTGCGAGATTCTATGATTATTGATGAAATTTTCTTCGACCCTTTATTGACAGAAAGATACTTGTACTATTTTATATTTATGCTATTACGTTCCCTTTCATATCAAACAATTCTCTTAATAATATATTTTTATACCTTTATAGCATAAAATAGACACACTGTGAAACCAAGAAATCAAATTTTATATACTCACATCAACTCTGAAGAAAAAATAATAAAGGAATAAAAAAGAGACGTCAATTTTTTAAATAATACGTGTAATAAATAAAACACAGGATGTATAGACACGTTTATATGTCAAGGGGCTAATAATTTAACACTGAAGCTACCGACCTGTAATGTGTATCTAAATATAGTGCACGTATTTGAAATTAATTAAAGCGAAAATTAAATGGAAAATAAAGAAGCAATTGCAATTTTCTTTGAATAAAACTCAACGTTAATTTTGTCAAAAACAGCTGCATATTTTGAGCAATCGCAAATGTAAGAACATGTTTTGGCCCCTTTGGTAATGCTAGTATTAACCCTTTGTTCCGAAATGACGTCTTCGAGACATCATGCGATTCCTCGAACCATTCGACACGTTTTTCTCTTACACGAATATTTCTTCCCTCTTATAACGATATTCTTCCGTGCTATTCGCATGCTTTTCTCTAGTGAACGAAGAATAACACAGAAAAAAATTGAACAGAGAACCGCCGATGAAGTATTTACGTCTAGAACGTCGAATTATAACGTTCGAGGTCGTTCTCTGCCAAAAAATGGGGATATTTTTCGGAATATCAACTGCGTGAAAAGAATTGCATGCTTCACTCGCGAAATTCGAGAATTCCAATGTAACTCCGAGATTCTGAGAACGCGAACAATACCACTCTACTCACCACTCCACTTACCTGAACTTTTTGAAAAACACCATACGTGGCAAAGCTATTAATAAAATTCAGTATCTTGACCTTTTCATTGTAAATTTACCTTTTGCACTCCGGTGCCACCATAGTAACGTTCGTAATTTGAAATTCTTATTTATTCATTTTCATTTCCACTGATAAACGTGAAAATATGAGTAACACTGCTCTACAAATAAATTTTTAAATATTTCTATTCTTTTTTCTTTTCGAAATAAAATTCTACATTTCAGTAAGGTTCTTCCTGCAAATATGCGTGTTACAATTGTTCGTTGATCGAATCAAGAAATTCACTGAATGCGATATTTATTAGCCACCTGTGTCGATAATTTAGAATTATTAGTAGATTAAAAAATTCTGTTTTCGGTAAAGCTTACTAGATTATATTTAAAAAGACAGAAATACATTAACGATATATAAAATGGCACGCGAATTAGCATATGGTGTATATAAATACATATAGAATATAAATATGTAATAAATAAGATAATATATATGTATCCACATACGCTATAAAATTTTCTCAATTATCATAACTACAACGGTATACTTCGATTGAGATAAATTAGAAGATAATATTTAATCTTTATCACTAGAACAGCGAGCAACTTTTTCCTATTCTAATGATTTTATTTGCATCTTCAGTGAAGGGCAACACTGAAGCTATACTACGTTCATTTTTGAACAGCTGTAACCTTGCGAAGAGAAATCGTACGATAGCATTTATGGGGTCGATATAAAGGGCAGGGCTTGTGCTTTCACGTTCCTAGATTGAATTTCTGCCGAGATGTTTTCATAGTAGAAAACAGTTTTCACTCTAAAATATTGTAAAAATTCAAGTGCTAGCAATCCCCTTAAGAAATTTTTTTCGATGCCCAAATTATCACGAATTGAATCACCGAAGTATAGATTCAATTTTGCTCTTCGCTATATTTGAAAAGAAAAGAAATTACGAAAAATGTCACTTATCTCTTTGGGATTAGGTATGTTAAAAACTGTGGGTTAAATACCACGTTTTTATTAGTTTTTGATGCATAGTGGGATATATTTTAACCCTTTTGCTACGATAGTCTTTGAAACGCACTAGCCATACCATATGGTAGGAACCATTTGCGATGTACACCGAGAACGATGAAACTTTTCGTTAGGTGTGCATTTATGAGAAATTATTGTATATTCGAATAATAATCCAAACGCTATATTCCACTACGTTGAAACAACATTATCTATCTCTTTATATTCTGCGTTAAATTGTTGTACATACTTAAAATTTAACAGCAAAAGAAACTTTTGAGCACCTTTAGGGGCCCACAGTAGTCAAAGGGTTAACCCACCTCGCAAAGTTGATTATACTGCCTGCAAAGTGCCACTTTGTTTCGGAAAAAAGATGCGTTTCCATGAATTTCAGTTAAAACGTTAGTCGCATGATGAGATTATGTATGTTCCACTCTGTAATAAAGAATTGAAATGTTACTTTTTTCTGATTCTGAATAATATCTTATGTTAAATAATCAAAACGAACGTTTCTTCCCATTTTCTTTTGTATTTAAAAAGAAAAATTCTGCGCATCTTGAGTTTTTATTTTCTTTAAAATCATGTGTCTCAAAGAGTTATGCCATACCTTTTTAGAGCACGGGCTTTGATGCCATTTTTCTAGCCGCTATTAAATTTTCCGATCGAGTGACAATTATTTCGGTTACTACGATCTAGTAAAGTTGATTGATCATCTAGATAACTTCCCCTGTTGCTATCAACTAGAGCATGATATAATTAACAGCGTGTGATCTTGTCCAAAAGAAAAGAAAAAAAAAAAAAGTATCGTCATTTTAAAATAATTTTGAAACAGTGGGGATATTTTTGATGATCACGTAAAGAGAACGTAAGGAATAACCATGTACTTTTCATTTATCTACATTCTCGAGTGCACCTGACATTTACACGTTTACCATTAACCAATGGAAAATGTGAAAATAAATGAAATTCGGTATTAAAATATATATAAGCGTAAACTAAATTTTGTATATGCAAAATGTATAGTCTCATCGAATATGGTGAAAATTAATGTACAAACACGAATACGTGTAAATTCGAGCATTTTTTAAAGTCATTTTCTTATTATTGCCTTCTGATTTGTTACTCGCATTGCTTGTAGAATTATCCTATTTCGTTGTTCAGCTATATTGCTTTTGTATTATAAAATGATATTATACACAATTTGTAACATTTTATCTAACCATTTCTCCCGAATTTCTCTCATAAATTAATACACGAACAATTATTTCTCATTTCAGTTTTATGTAGCAACCGGGTGAGCCAAATGACCAAGACCTATAATGACATAGAAGCAGTCACAAGGCTTCTAGAGGAGGTAAATGTGATCACTGACATAACATATAATGCATGGACGCACGCATAAAACATTTCACATTAAAACATTTGAAAGTGTAAAAGAAAATTTAAGTAAAGTTCTATGAAAAATGATTAAAAATCTCAAATGTATACTAATTCATGGTACGAATGTTGGAATTGCAGAAAGAAAAGGATTTGGAATTAACAGCACGAATCGGTAAAGAACTTCTATCGCACAATCAAAAGCTCGAAACCACAGTTACCAATTTGGAGGCGAATTTAAAGGAAGCCAATGAAAAGATTACCCAATTTACGCACGAACTTGTTAAGAAGACAGAACTGATCCAAATACTGACAAATGATGCCGAAGAATCAAGCTCCGAAGCCGGTACGCCCACCGGACTCCGTGGTATTAATCTTGACATGATGCAGAAAAAGATCAGCTGCCTGGAGGAAGAAAATAAACAATTGAGAAGTGAATTTGCAAAAATGATACACGATGCTGACAGTTCGGAGGAACAAGAAACAAGGCTTGTAAAGGATATCGCTGCTCAACTCGGTTAGTCGATGAACTTCTACTAAAAATTGTGAATTGAAAATCGTTATTTTAGCCTCACATATACGAAACTGCTAAAAATTTTACATTTTCGATAATAGTTAAAGTTTAAAATTCGATAAATAAATAAATAATTTTGTACTTAGCAAGCGCAAACATGGAGGTAGATGGAATAACGGAGGAACTTGAGAGGCAGAAGGAAGAAAATCGATTGCAGCATGAACAAATTGTCAGTTTAACGGCAAAACTAGCCGAAACGGAATTAAGATTGGCACAATTGATGGCTGAACATGATGAAGTAGGAGCTACTTTGCTCATCACTAGGGACAATCAGAATACTCTGGCAACCGAGTTGGCTGAATTCAAGGATCGCTATGCCGAGGTGTGTTTTTATATATATTTTAGTACAAGATATACGAGGACTACTTTTAACGATGATTTTGAATTAGATAAATTTATCTTAACAGTAGGTAATATCAAATTATTTAAGTAATGAAGGAAAAATTTATTCGAGACATTTTGTGCTACAAGGTGGTGAATCTGTTGGCGGAAACTCAAGAACAATTGCGAAAACAGAGGAAAAAAGGAATGCCAACGGTTAGAGGAGGATCATTGTTCCCTTCGATGAGTGCTGTTCCACAACCAGACTCCATTGCTTCCGAATTGGAATCGTCTCTTTATTCTGAATTCAGCTTAGATTCCGGCATCAGTGCAGATAGGATGTATGTTTTTTTTCCCATTTTGTAAGAATATATGTAGGAATGCCAGCCCGAAAAGAGAAGACAATAAACAGCCGTCTTGGGTTTGACTCGAGCGTTCGGAATATTATCTGGAGTGCGTGCGGGGAAGGATGAGTGACCGTGCGCAAGGATCGTGTGGACGGGATGTTTATGGAAGTATTGGTTGCATGTGAAGATTGCGTGAGAAAGCATGATTGGGAAAGAGAGCATAGGTATGGAAGAGGATAGAATGTGTATGGTTTTAAATAAGGGTACATGGGCGTGAATTGGACGTCCAGGCGGAGAGTTCCTTCGGGAGTTATTGAGAGACAGTTGTTAGACAGAGTTTAGAGAGTTCTTCGGAAATAGTATATTCGGCCTGTTCTTATTGTTGTAATATTATTAGAAAGCCCCTTATAATTTCATATTAACATTTTCATTTCGCCATCATTAATCCAAGCAAAATTTTAATTTCTGTTTTTAATATTACATAGACCAACATACAAGAAAGTTTTCGAAACGGTGAGAAGTGCATCGAGAAATACATCTTATCCAGTTGATGCAAATCAATTTCCACGAATAGGTTCAATGACAGTATCTACTCTATCGAATGGTTCTATTGGACCGCGAATGAGTTGTGGACAGGTTCGACCATTACCATCAACATTTCCCAGTTTGGATTCCACTGGCCATAGTGATTCAGAAGGCTCACTTCTCACAGACTCGGAAGAGTATCCGTAAGTTATTTATTCTCTTTTTTTATCAATGCATCTATCAAGAAGTTTTCATAATAAAAATAACAATGTACTAGTATGTTGAATAATATAGTCTATTAAACATATATTTCATTAATAATTATAATATTTTCTTAAATATTAATTTACATAATAAATCAATACATATATTTATACATTTTCAGAGGTCCACAGCAAATTGGAGTACCAGGAGCTCCTGGTGCAGCAGATTTGGAAGCAGCTCTTCGTAGATTAACACCTGCAGAAGTTCTCACAAGGCGTGCATGTCTCAGCACTGGTACAGGCTATACTTATGACTACGATGCTGGAACTCATTCATCTTCCACCTTCATACCTCTTGGTTGTAGAACTCCGGATAGTATTATGTCTACAGGAAGTAGTGGAAATTTAAGTGGTTATGGTGGAAATGCTTGGAGAATTCCTGAAAAGTTACAAATAGTGAAGCCTATCGAAGGTTCACAAACATTACACCATTGGTCGCAATTAGCTACACCTACATTAGGTAATATTCTATAATTATTTTATTTACTAAAAGATATATATTTTACTAAACGCAATCTGTTACGATACATTAATCAACACTAGGTTTACGGACGTTTTCTGTAGACCTATTTTTACGGACACTTGTCAAATTGACGGGTAAAGGAAACCATTTATTTTCTTTAAAAAAAAAATACTATTTGTTTAATTTAAAAACAATTACAATACTAACAGTCTTAACATAAGTTAACTAAATCTGTTACTTTTTGTATAATTGGATTCCGTAATCTAGTGTTTATTGACGGATGCCGTAAACCTAGTGTTAATTACAGGATGTGGCATATAAAGTGTTATAAACTATTTTTCTTTTTTTTTTATAACTACTACGATATCTACGTAGTATCTCTCTTTTCTTTTTCTGTTTTTTTTTTTTAAATTAAACCACTAAAAAGCCAATTATTTTATATACATCCAATTTTTATGAAGATATTTCTTGAGGTTAAAAAATATTCTTTTCTTCTTCATTTCAAACGAAATGACATTAATTTTTTAATTTTCAAATAACTCCTATGAAACTTAATAACATTTACTTAAAATATATTATTTTCCTCAATAACGTGCATTCGTATAACGTGACGAATAAAATGCAACTATAAATAGTACTATTGTTTTTTTTACTACTCATACAGCGTGATAAATAGTCTCCGCATATACCGCATAAGATAAATTTAACATTTTGATATATTTCTCGATTTTTTTGTTTAATGACAGATAAACTGTGCCAACTATAGTGATATCCAATCAGTATTGGAATTCATAGATATATTTAAACTTGCATAAATTCGTAAACTTGTGAAATTTTTAATATTTATCAAAAAATAACAAAGGAAATGCATTCTGTTTTGAAAATTATTTGTAGATGAGTATTTGTTCTTTTAACAATATCGCGGTTTTAATCTTACCATGTGTGTTAATCGTATACACACATGTCACGCACACAAACATATAAAAAACAATATCATCATTAAGCTACCTCAACGGATGTTCTATTTAAAATCAAACATTAAAAACAATCGTCCGATTTATTTTCTTCCTATCAATATTTGTCACAGATTTGAAAAATACGCAATTTAAAATTAAATTATAGAACTATTTTCAAAAGAATATATTCCTTTATGTTATCTTTCGAGATCCGTTGAAGTTTTATCTGCGTGAAGTATTCTTCGTTATTACTTACAAACTGTACAAAATATAAAAGAAAATTTTAAATAAAAGTTAGTGTAAATTAATTTCGATGATAATACAAATTACTAAATATTAATATACTCTCTCATTTAAAAAAGTAGAGAAAAGAACTTTTTAGAATTTAAGAAATGCCTTTTTAAAATTTTAATACAACAAATAATTGACCTTCTTTACTTATTTAATAAAAAAGAAGTTATGTCTATATCTGCAATAATTGTAGAGAAAATAGTTCATCACATTTTATGTGCCTCGTTCTATATACATGTATGAGAAATCGTATTCTAAAATGAAAAGAAATGAAATTTATCACACAAAAGTAAATAAGAAATTCAAAACAGTTATATATTCGAGCTTCCTTTTTTGAGAAAATTATCTGCGCAACGTGAGTTGACTAGAAAGACCTCATATAACATTTTGTTTGTATTTATAAACAACGTCATGCCTTGATGTAGATTAAATTAATACACTGAATTTCGATGTATTTATTTAGTTAAATTACGAATTATCGAAAATATTTTCTCCTTTGTTTTAAAGAAATTTTTGTTTATTAAATCTGATTATTTCTTTAAAGAAGCATAAACACGTGATAATGAATGTCAAATCTTTATTTCTTTAAATACTATAAAATTATATTACGTCTTCATTGAGTTATATTTTGGTTATTTTCAACATAAATTAACTTTTTAATGTAACCCCATTGTCAGTGAGATGTACATGTATTTGTCAAAATTATACTATATATTTATTTCCTTAAACAAGAAACCTCGTATCGAAGTAGTTATTCTACATGTTTAGCTTAGTTTTGACTACATGTCTTGAAATAAAACTATTACAGAATGTATGTAGGAAATATTTATTCAAATGAGTATCTTATCTTTTAGGTGGTCTTCTAGAAGACCGACCAGGAGTAAAAACACGAGGAGGTCGTGGCCTGGAGGATTTAGGCCTAGTTACTTTCACTTTAAGCGACCTTGAGGAAGATGAAGAATATACCAACCCTGGAAAACTCTTTCAAGACACTGGTTCCATATATACATTTACTAACAGTACTGTTCTCCACCCTGATGATCATACAAGCGTCACTCCAAGTATTATCGGTAGTAGGGTTGCAACAGCACCTAGTAGTACTTTAAATTCTGGTATGAGTACTCCAAGAACATTAAGTAGAAGAAATTCGACTTCAACATTTTCAACAACTCTTGGACTTGCAAAAATGTTAAATGAAAGAGGTAGTTATTCTATAAAGTTGGAAATACTTCATCTAATTTATAAAATTAAAAATAATCTAATTAATGAATTATGATAGGTATAAAAGCTGTAACACCTTCTTCTGCATTAACTCCAAGCGAAGAAAAAAATTTTACACCTACTGCAACACCCTGTAATAGTCCTGATGCTAGTCCTCCAGAAAGTCGACCAAATTCACCAACTCCAGAAAGTGGACTTTCTTTAGGATTATTATCTAGTGGAGCTGAATTACTAAAAAGAACATTTGGTGGAGAAACTGAGGTATGTAAAAATATTTATGAATAAGAAAATTTGTTATCCTTAATTTGATAAAATTTTATTATAATTGTATTACGATTTGATTTACTGATAAAAGCAATAAAACATTTTTAAATTGAATTTCTTATAAACGAAAGATAGAAATTCTTGATTTTTCATAATTAATAACATATTCCAAACAAAAATTTCTTCAATCTAGTCTAATATAACTGATAGAGCTCATTTTTATAAATATTTTCTGTAGGAGATTGTATTACTAACAAGTGATTTGTTTATTTAAAAACTATAATCTTTTTAATTATGAAGTCATTTCGTTTATTTCATTTAACACATAAACATTCTAAATTGAGTATTTAAACATATAAAATGTTATTAAATCTTTTCTCATGTTTACATTGTGGAAGCAGTTTCTATAAGCACTGTCCAGCATTGAATTTTTTTTTGCAATAAGCAATAAGTGATTCTTATAGAATCTCATGCTCTGAATACAAAGCTGCAAACGGAATTGCTGTAAAAACTCTTAGTTTTTGAAAATATCGAAATTCTGTAAAAATTCTCAATTTTTATTAAAAATGATATGGAAACTAAAAATGTTAGGAAACTCTAATTGCTCTGATATAGCAAAGAAGAGATCCCTGAGTCCATCAATACCTATGATTATAATATTTTTCAGTTCCGAATAATTATAAATAGTCATTGAAATTTAGAAATGATTGTTGAATCATCCAGTATTTATTACGAAAAAGAAAAAAATTAGAATTAGTTGAACAGTATTATTAGAAATATATCAAGTTTTTTTCTTCACTTACGAATATGGAAACAATAATTGTCTTATTGACAATTTAAATTTTTAACTTGTTAAAAAAATTATTATTTATTGTTCAAAAATAAGAATATAATGAACGATTGCTTTCTTGTATTAAATTGAAGTTTACATTGTTACTTTGTTTTAATTTTAATAAATAATCAGAAATTAGAAGAAATTAGTATTCTTTAAAAAAATTATGATTCACAGCAAAAGTATTATTTTAAATATTGATTACGTCAATTTATGAATTTAATTAATTTTGATATCTCTCGTATTTTTTAACAGGCGAAAAGAAAACGAACCACGTTATCCAGATCAGACAAGAAAGCTCTTACCAGTATTCGTTTAGTTGAAAAACTTGAAAGAATAGGTATCGACACTATAATGGCTACAACAGTTGGTTCCTGTATCTCTCCGTTAGCGTTACAAGGGTCTTTATACAGCAGACGTACCGGAAGTCCTATGGCTCAATTATCTTTCCTGAAAAGCTCAATGTCCTCAAGTGGAAGTCAAGAAAAACTTTCACCTTCCACTAGTGGTGACTCCACATCGTCAAAACGTAAAATGATTGACAAGAAACAGGACGAGTCTATGGCAAACAGACAAAGAAGAACTGGTGCTAGAGCCATGAGACCTGATCTTGGACAGGTTACGTCTGCGATCCCTGTTACAGTCACAAAAGAATCTCCTGCGCAATCCGCTTTGGGAACTATTAGCTCGCTTTTGTTTGGACGAAAGGGTGGATTACTTTGAGATCATTATTTATTGATCACTAAGTAAATTATAAGGAAGAAATCAAAGAAGTTTTTAACAAAACGTAATGGAAGATTGTCGGAGCGGTGATAAAATGAACAATTTATTTTGTTTCATCTGTATTAAATTTACTTCGTACAAAAATTTTATTAAAAATTATAAACTGACTTTTTATAATTAATCTGTTTTATACATAAATATCTCAACATACAGTTAAAGTGAATAGAAAATTTAACTTATAATTTTCTAAAAAAAAAAAGAAAGCAGAAGTAAATAATGATGCTTTTATTTTACAGTACTATTTTTTAAAACACAGAATGCTATATGCGTTTACATTATAAAGATACAATATTTTGTATCAAACATAAAAGTCTCTGATATTGATAATGTTATTTTCTTTATAAACTGTAAATATTATTATTGACGTATTAATTGACAATATTTACTTATTTGCAGTTTTTATGTATTATCAATATGTGAATAATGTGAATGGTTAATACTATTTTATATTAATTTAAAACATTCCTTTAATAACCATATTTTTCTTTCTTTCTGAGCTTTATTTTTATTACTAAATCCTTTTCTTGCTTGGATACTGTGAAATATTGCAAATACTACTTTATTCAAAGTAGAAATTCATGTTTAAAATTCATTAAACATGTAAAGCATTCTTATATATTCCTAAAATTGCAGTATTATATTCAATTATATAAATATTTCATTACAAATTTTTAATGATCATTTTCTCAACGCTCCGATGTTCTCTAATTGCAGAAATAATTAACAGCCTGTATATTTTAATTTTAAAAAGCAGCTATTTCACCATGATTAGATTATTTTTTTAATAATTTGTTGTACATAAATAATTCATATGTGAACAAGAATAAAAATATAGTTACATAGTTGGAAAACAAAACGAAAATTTATAAATGATTATTTTTTGTGTTCAATAGTAAGTGAAGTTCAATTTATGCACGTGCGAAAAATAATTTGAAGTTATTAATTTATATATATATATAAAAACAAAATGGGAACTAGGGAAATGTATCATGTGAATTAATTTGCATTGTATAGAAAATAATATGGTATAGTAGTTAATATTTAAACTGACGTAGGACCGTTGCAACCGTGTAATGTGAAATGCTACATTATTCAGTGCGATTTTTATCAGCAATATTTTTTGTTACCTTTATGATAGACGAAACAAATTCCCTTTTTTTATACAGTTATTCTTTTTTTATTCTTTTTAGTATTGCGCATTATCTTTTATTAAATAAGAAATTAACCTTTATTTTAAAGGTTAATCATTAAAGCATGAAACAAAATTGTATCAATTTAGTGTTGTCACTTGGATATATTTATTTATATTTTATGCCAAAGTGTCCAAAAAACTGAGAAAGATACCAAAAAAAGTAACGTCAATAATGCACGTAAAAGCATATAAATGACTTCACATATAGTAAAATATAACAGAAATAAATTAATTTGTAACAAAATGATATAGGTTGCGACAGATGAATCTGACTACGCTATTAATAAAAAGAAAATATCAGTAAAAGTCGCAGCGAATTTTGTAAGTCGGAGCACAATTTTTAAGAACAGAATTTTTAGGGTGCTTTAAATTGTATCGATTTCTTTTAATTAGCTTAAGAAATTTATTATTAATTGATCAATTATATTTTAGATTAATTATTTAATTGTGTCACTATTGTTAGTCTTTTATAGAAAGACCTTACAGTTAGTACCGATAATTAATTAATTAATCATTCCATAATTATCGATTGATTATTAAGGGACGGTTGAAAAGGAATTTTGTACTTGTTGATTACCTCCTTTGTCGGTAATAATTACTTGTAAATAATTAATAATATATTAATCATTGCTTGGGTCACAGCTTATATGTTTATTATATAATTCAAAGCAATATGGAAGAATATTAATTTACTATTTCAGAGTTGAACTCAAGCGATTAATTAAGCATATAATTAAGCACTTTCTATTGGAAATAAATTGACCAATGATTAATCGATCGATAATTGATCAATTATTTTTGTAAATAGTAGTCTGGATTTTTGGTTCATTTTGTCTCTTTTTTTTTAATCAATCGTGGTTAAAAAAAATTGATTGCAATGTACTGAGTGAGTTTGATGGTGAGATGCAATTTTATTAGTAAATGGACCTCTATCTTGTATCATAGGAAGGATTATTTAGCAGGCGCAGTCTTGTACATAGAGGAATACAGATTAATAAATTAAATTGAAAAAATATATAAGATGTTTTAACATTCTTTGTATTACTTCCTTGTCATTTATAAAATATTTCTATTAAAAAATCATAACTGAAAATTTAATAAAATATGAAAATAATACTTATATTTAAATTATAAAAAGTTGATATTGAAATTTAAAAAGTAGAAAAAAAAATTGTTTACATAATTAAGTGTATTTTTTAATTTTACTCGTGTATTTTTTAAAAAAATTGAAATATGTTATAATATTAAATTCTGAAACATTTATCAATGTTTATTAAAAAATCTTATACAATTATCTATATTTTATATAATTTTATATTATGTGTATGTGATTTTTTTAATGATAATAATTATATAGATTTATATTGGAAAGGAAAATTATTAATAATAACTGTTGAAATCAAAATAAGACATTAAAATCCAACCTTGCTCTAAATAATTAAGATGTTTGCGACATAAAAACCTGTGCATAGATAACTTATACAAGAGTTTTACATATTTTAAACTTATTTTATACGTTTTTGCAATCTTTTATTTTTTCAATTTTTTATATATGTGCTATGTTATATATATACAATTTTCCACGTTTTTTATGTTATATTAACACTGTTCATAATTTCTATTTTAATCAATATATTAGAATGTTTGTTTAAAACTGAAAAAGTATAAATTAAGTGAAAATAACTAGCATGGATATTAGTACTAATACTTTGTAAAGTACAGAGCAAATTGTACAATGCCAATTAATGTCATAATAAATATATTTTTTGAATACAATGTTTAGATTGCAACTGCACTTTAATAAATAACTATGACTGAATATTTATCAAATATATGTGTATGCTAGAAATAAATTGTTATAACACAGTTTCATGGTTTTTAATAAAACATTTTAATAAAATTATTTATACTTTACATGTTTTACATGTTCATTTTCATGAAACAAAATTAATTAAAATTTACCTGTATTAAACAACATCGTACAATAACAAATATAAATATCTAAAAAATTATGAACAAGAAAGCAATAAAAGTGAGAAAAAATAAAATATGTTTTAAAATAACTATTTAATTAAAGGCCTAATAACATAATGGTTCATCTGTAGCGCATGCTGAAAGTCAAAGATACATGACATACATGTGCATGTACATATTATGCATGTAAAAAAGAATTTATGCCAATGAAGATTAACGCATTCACAACTCCTGACGTACATATTAAGTTAATTACATCACATAAGTAATATTACTGATGTATACAACCAGAGTTGCCGTACGAAATTCCATTTTCCCCGTTCGAAGAAGTGGGCGTAGGCCATTCGAAGTCCTACTCCAACTGGGCGGCAGAGTGGTAAATAACTTATCGTCAGTGCGGTACAATAGAAAAATCCAGTATATTCTACCACTTCGTCACACGATTAGAGTGGGAATTCGTACGGCCTACCTCCATTCTTCCGAAAAATAGGATTTCACTCGGCAACCCTGTATGTAACTGTTGCGCTTCGACGGATAAGATGTATAAAGCAGTAAACTGTATGCTAAAACAAAAACAATATTATAACAAATTAAATTTACTTTGATTGTTCTGTCTAATAAATATTTTTATAACTTATATTGGTATTTATTGAAGTATTATTTTCCCTCTGGATATTTCACTTACTATATTCTCGATAATAAAATCTTATAGAATATATTTTACACAAATCAAGAAACCAGCAAGTCTGTAATGTAAATGCACAAATCAAACAAGTATACATATACATACGTACACTCTAGTCAAGTAATTACAAGTAGATTCACTGCATTTTTTAAATAGAGTAACGCTACAGTAAGAATAACTCTATTTGAGATTTAATACAATTTTCAATACAGAAGTTCTAACAATTTAAAATAATCTACATGTATTTATGTGCATAAAAAATAACGAAACGCATAAAATATAATAAGAAAAAAATATAATTTAGAATCACGTTTTGTAGCAAATACAGAATTTTTATATTCTTTTGTTTCGATTTCTATATATAATTTAGCTATGAATACCATACTATTTTATTTTAGATCGATTCTCTTTTAAATTAAAAAACGTATGATTTATATAAATTTATGAAATTATTAAAAAACTATAAAAATAAAAAACCTTAATTTATTAATTTTTAAATTAAAAATGCATTTGGGAATTCTATAATAAAAAATATTACCGATTAAAGAAATAAAATTATTCTTTTACAAAGAAATATGGTACACTTACTTTTAAAGCTTCAAATTAAAAATATTTAAATATTTTAAAGCAAAATTTAATAAAATGTGTTATTAATGTACAATGATTATTACATAAATCTTTATCAATATCAGGTTTTTATATTTAGATATAAAATTTTAATTTTGCGAAAAAAGCAGGGATTTGATATTGTAGTTAATAAAAATGGAATTATATTGTTTAATTTAGAAATTAAAGATATTCCTGATATACATATACAAATACTTGAAACGCGTTTATTGTATTTAATATACTTATTATATTATATATTAAATATATTTATTATATTTTACTTAATATATTTAATAAAATATTTAATGAACACATGTACATGATTTAATATTTACATATTTTATGATATTAAAATTAAATATTATTATGTATCAAATCAGAAAATGTTACTGTCTGTTAATTGATACAATTGATACAAATATTTTAGTAAATTTTATTAACCGCATAATAAATGTATAAAATAGTACATAATTGCATATTTAATGAAAAAAAGTCTTTTCTTTTACATTAGCTTTTGAATATATTAAATAAAAATTACAGTAAATATACTAGGAACATAATTGTTTGAAATTGTTATTTGAATTGTTATTTCCTTATTTACAATTTAAACATACTACAATTTTTATCTTTATCATATTTATACTCTAATAATGTTACAATTTTTTGTCTTCTTTCATTTATTTTATTTTATAATTTTATTATTTTTTTTTAAGATTAATTTTATTTTCAATTGTTTGAATTTTCTTTTTTTGTGTAATATGTGACTTATATTTTTGTAAAACCTCAGTGATAAAATAAAATCTATAATGTTACAATAATTAGTTAATTAATTAATGTTACATAATATTATTTACGTAATTACGTAATGATATTTACGTAATGTTAAATAATTAATGTTACAGTAATTACAAATTTGCTATCAAATTTTAAACAAGCAGTATCAAATTTTAATGATTTTCAAATGAGTAATTTTTATTGGCTTGGTAATATCCATACCTATGTATGTATATTATCTAAAATAAGTAATTAGTGGTCAGTTTTTAATTATTGTGAAGCAAATGAAAACAATACGACCTTGTGGTTGTAAGGGAATCAGATCATGTCTTCTCTGTGAAACCGAATTTCAGATTGAAAGACCTAATCTAAAGGATTATTTTGAGGTTACATTTCAAAATTGAAGTTTATGTTTTTCTTCTTATTATATTATTTATTTCCATTACTTTTAAAATATTTAAATTATTAAATTTGTCATTAAACTTTTTAGTGAATTAAGTGAACAAAAATTAAAATTAAGTATTACAAATTATTTTGTAAATAATTTGTGGGTATTATGTTACATTATAATGTATACTTGTTATTATAAATATTAATTTTCTTAATGTAAAATATACAATATATTTATGTATGTTTTCAGTTATGATTTTGTTACTACTTTTTTCTACTTTGTTATATTTCAAAATGTTTTTTGCATTTGTTTATAAAGAAATATTACATATCATTAATAAAAAATGATACTTGAAATTTAAAATATTCAAATGTACATACCATATACCTTATATTCTTCTTTAAAGAATGCTTCTTTATATTGTATCAATATCAATTTTAATTCTTTTACATATTGTAGCATGTACACGTATAAATTTTTTTAAATAGCTTGACAATTATAGAATGCAAAATGAAGAATATTAAAACTTATTATGTTGTTTTATAAATATTATTTTTTGACAGTATACTAAGAAATACAGAGTAATAATTGTTTAATATTAAATTATTGATATATATGTACTATATAAGTATTGATATTACCAGGTATAATGTATTTTTTATACCTAAGATATAATTAATATTTTTTTATTTAAATACATAAAACATTTTATAAAGCAGTTAAATATATTTATACAATTTTTATGCTATATTATAGTTATAATATTTCAGAAATACTCTAGTTATGTTTATTGCCCATATTGTGAGAAGTCATGGCCTGGTTGGGATACGAACCTTTACAAAAATCATCCGAATCATCAAGGAACTGCAATAGAATTTCCTGGTGTTTATATAAAGGTATATATTTCTATTTGTATTTCTTTTCTTTTATTACACTATAAAACCCACTACTAGGTTATTAGCAGCATGCACATGCTTCCTGTCTTAAAGATTACACAGATGTAAAATTATAATAAATACTTTTATATTTACATACTTATAATTAGAACTTGAGGCTATTGTTAAATTGCTGGTAATCATTGCTAAGTATTCGGTACAAAATAATGATAGATGTCAACTGTGGTTCTTAAGAAATTTGTGAATGTACAACAAGGGAGTAATATATGGTTTCCACAAAAAGAAGTTCATTGTGTAGGATAGAAAATAACGCATTCTACACAGTTTATTTGCTGTCGTTAAGGTTGGGGCATTGTCAAATTATATGGTTGAGATCTTGCACTAGGCATTCCCATTGATATTTTGTATTGTCTAAGAGTCCAAGAAAATATTTCTACTGCCAGGACTGTGAGTTCTGTCAATTCTGTATGTGTGGAAACTGGAAAGATCAAATTTTTTAGGACTTTTAAGACTAGTTTTTATGCCTTTTTATGTATTTTTAAATACATTGACTTTTTGTAACTGCTTTTGCAGTTCCTCTCTGCAGCTGCAAATTCATTTGCAGTTCTAATAAAGCAGCTTCAGTCTAGTTTTAGAGCAGAGGTCACAGCTATATGAATTCATGGATGTGACACATATATAATTGGATGTGTAGATTGATGGGAGTAGCATCCTCTGATGATATGGAGAAATCAGTGTCAGATTCTGGACCTGAGATGAGAAAAATTCATTTTCATTGTCCGTTTCTTCTGTGCAACTACCATGTAGTTTAAACTTTTTGATAATTCGGAAAATTCTGAAATTGGGGTAGGTTTCATGCAGCGTTTTGGTTAGCGAAGAAAGATTATCTGTGTAAGCTTGTGCCAACTGCACGATTTCTGGATTTCCTTTGGCTTTAATTATAAATTCTTTATACTGTTTGAACTTTATACTGTTCAGATTTTGAATGAAAATATGTTTAACAGGTTCTAGTGCATAATCTATTGTTTTTGGATCAATCTAATTAGCCTTAATTTCACTGTTTTTGCCTCTTGTATGGATAAATAACTCACCTTATTGAAGTTGCAAAGGGAGAAGTTTCCATGTCTGTAGCAGAATTAGCATCCATCCAAGTCAGAGTTACATTTTTATCTATAATCACAGAGCCAACATGTGTGGTACTAGTAGAACTTGTTGAGAATGGTTTCTGGACAATTTTATTTCGAATAAGGTCCATATATTCATTATTTAAATCCTGTTATTTTCAGTATTCAAAGAAGGAAATGAAGCTTGCCTGTTTGAATCTAGTACGTGAAGCAATAAGGAAGAGTTGTCTATCTGTTAAAATGATACTCTGATGGAATTGGGATAATGTTTTGCCAGATGCTCTTCCTTCTTACATTGGAAGCACTTTAAATAGTCAGTAGAAATGTAAATTCAATAGGAAGTGTCATCATAGCTTCTCTGGTAGTGTTTACATCCTCCTGATGAATGTACACTTGTCTGTAAAAGTTGAGTATGTGTATGAATCTGGCCTCTGTAAATCTCATTTTTACAAAAGAGATTGGTGATATGGTTGTGATTCCCATTTGCTTGAAAATGTTTGGTATCACATTGTATGGAATAATGGAACACACGTTTGAGAGAAGAATTACTCGCTTGGTTTTCATAATTAACACTTCATCAACTTCGCGCGCCACAACCAACTGTATGCTTTCCACCGCACATTTCTGGCAACTTACACATACTAATCTTCAGTAATTAAAGGACACAAAGAACACATAAAATTGATTTTAACTGATTAATTATATTTGATGTTAATAATCCTATATTACACGTAGTTTAGATCAAATATGAAATTAAAAATAAATTACATAATTAAATATTTTTTATAATTGAATGAATAAAAGCAGATACTTTTCCTGCAGTACATAAAAATAGAACAGAAGAGTAACAAAATAACAAAAGAGAAACAATAATTAAAATGCAAGGCAACGCATTGCTAGGAGAAACGCGGGAGATATCTCCATTCGGACACGTAATGACTTCGAAATGGAGAAATTTCTCTATTCGGAGGACTAAGTGTTAAGGGTCTGACAAAGAATGATCTTTAATAAAATATCTAATATTTTTGTATTGCCTTATGTAAGCTTATCAACAAAAGATTTGCCTGTGAGATCCATGCATATTCTATTATTAGCCACCCTTCATGCAAACCGAATATTGATTAAGTGTACAACTTTTCCAACTCCAAATATGTAGTCTTTTATGGTAATGTCTTCATATGTGTTCAGCAGAATTGCATGTTTCTTCATGAGGAAGTTATCTTTCTAGATCTTTCAAGGAGCATTTGCTTTATCTATTTTTTATGAAAGAAATTCCTGTACACAGGAATTTATCTTTTGAATAAAAAATATAATAGAAGATATGTTTGTCGCACTCAAAGGAGTTGGGATGCGATGTGAACGAATTCAAAATCACAATATCATTAAATTTAAAACATCATAATCATATTAAATCTAAAACTTTATTGCAAAAATTTGATTTACAATTAGCAATATAACAAGTTATTTAATAGGAAAAAACATTAAATTTTTAAAATTATTGTTTTTTTGTTAACATCAATATATAAAATATAAATAATTTTTTATTGCTATCTATTTTAAAAATAATGCTTAGGAATTAAATTATTTTAACTTATTGTAGTATAACTATGCTTGATTAAATTTAAATATTATATTATGTTCTCTTCTACACAAAGCTAGATTTTCTAAATCCCAGAGAAATTAAGTCATTGATCAGTGCAATTGAGGAAATACCTTGGGAAATTTCTCAGAGTGGAAGACGAAAACAGGTATTTTTAAAAAATTACTAAAGTGCATGCTTATCAGTAAAAAGTTTATCAAATTTAATACTTTTTTTAATAAAAAGAAAAATACAAAGATTAAATAATTTGAAAAATTTAGAATTTTGGTCCAAAATGCAATTTCAAGAAGAGGAAACTTCAGTTGGGTTCATTCAATGGTTTTCCAAAGTCTACTCAATTTGTGCAACAAAAATTTTCTGAAGTACCTATACTTAATAATTTTCAAACAATAGAACAATGTACATTAGAGTATGATCCACTACGCGGAGCCTCAATAGATCCACATATTGATGATTGCTGGATTTGGGGTGAAAGAATAGTTACTGTCAATATCATGGGCAATTCAGTTTTAACAATGAGTCCTTATCATGGTCCAGATACAAAATATAATTTGAAAAATATAACAGAGTATGCCACAACACTTAAAGACCTAAATTCTAATGTAAAAAATAAAAGTGAAAGTAACAAAGACATCATTGTAAGACTCCCGATGCCAGAAGGATCTCTTATGGTCCTTTATGGTGTTTCAAGGTAAAAATATTTATTTCATAATGATCTTTAGAATAGTATTCATTTATAGCATATTATTATTACATTTATAGTACATTATTATATGAAATAATTATTTCAATTATAAAGCTATACTGTAAAAGACTATACAATCTTTATCTTGTTGAAGATTTATATAATTATTTAGTTAAAATATCCAATACAACTTAAATAAAATGTTGTGCAAATTAGATAAAAATAAAATACGAGAAATGTAAATTTTATTGCATTATTTGTACAAATATTTATACCTTTTGTGTGTCTTTTTAGATACAAATGGGAACATTGCGTTTTAAGAGAAGATGTGAATACCAGACGAATCTGTTTGGCTTATCGTGAATTGACTCCCTCGTATTTATGTAACTTAGCAAATGATGAAGAAGTCAGAGAACTCTTAAAGAGAGCATTAGTCTTTAATGAAATGTAACTAAACTTTGAAAAGAATTTACTCCAATAAAGTATATAATGTTAAATTTGTACGAAATATTTAATTATACATTACATTATATATTACAGACATATATATTAAATTCTTTTGTACATATTATCTACAACTATAATTTTATACAATGATAATATAAATGAAACTCTAACTTCTACTATTAAGTATTTAATGTAAAAAAAAAATGAAAAATTTCTAAAACCTTTAAGCAAAGAAATTTTAAAGTTAGAACCACAGAAATAGATTTTAGTTAAAAAAAGATTCAAGAAGTATGTATGGAAAATAATTTGTTTTTTTTTTTTACAATAAAAATACCAACTTTTATAATTTTAGAAAATTGAAAGATATTACTCTAATATAAATAAAACTATTTTATTAAGAATTCATCACAGAAGGTGATAAAAAATTCTAGGGGTTTTTCAAAAGTTCAGATGACATGTAAACAGGAGGAAATGTTGTAGAAGGATCAGATTTTCCCAATGGTTGGTAACCATTGATTAAACTCTCCCTTAATTCCCATCTACGTCTCTCCCTTTCTGTTTTTTGTCTTCTGATTGCTCTACCTAACATACAGGCAAACATTATTCCAGTTAACTGAAAATAAATAATTGAATTTATTAGAACATGTACTGAAATGCTTTTATACTAAAGATAACATTAAATTTTATAAACTATTTCTAAGTATTAAAAACAAATATTTGATTAATATAATAAAATTATATTTTTATATATGTATTAACTTACTTAAGCTAATAAATATGTATTAATATGTACTAACTTACTTAAACTAATTTTAGATTTGTCGCTGTTTGAAAGTATATAGAAGTAAATGTAATTACTACCAACCTGAATAAGAGCAATAGCTGCAGCTCCAGTACCGATATAAAGTACACTTCTGTGAACGATAACTGAAAGAATTTTGATACATCCATCTGAATGAATGGGACATGGTGCATATGAATTGTTAGGAGGACATGCAACATAATTAGTTATGTATAGAGGTGTGCAAGATGAAGGAAATTTGATATTGTTTTCCTTTATAATATCTTCCCAATCTTGGTATCCATTGTATCCACAACAGTAAAGCTGTTGAATAATACATTTGATTAGACAAAATGTATCATTTAAGGAATTCAATGATTCTGACAAATAATAACTATACAGTAGTAACAAAACAGTTAAAAGTATTAAGAAAATTTTTCGCGCATTTCATATTTAAAATAAAAATTTGTTTAAAAATTTGGCTAACACGTGAAAAAGTCGATCAAGTTTTTGATTATACAAAGAGAAATGATATTCGTTTTTATATTTTGTTCAATTAATATCTAAGTAATATATGAGTTAATTTTTATATATTTAAGATATGTATATATTACTCTTGATTGTAGGAAATTAATAGCATTCGTAGCTTCAGGATTGTGTCCATACTCATGCATAGTAGCATTAATTTTATTAGCAAGAAGATCCTTTATTCCATCTTGAAGAGCATAAGCTGCAATTGCAGCAGCTAATTCTAATACAAGAACGATTGAAAGAGATACTGCAAACTATAAATATAATATTATATTTTTATTATTTGCTATATCAGATCAAAGATAGAAAATATAATGTTGCATAAATACGTTTATATTAATATGTATCAATTAATTAATTGTGAAATTGAAATAATACATAAAGATAAAATTAAAGTAAACAACTAAAATAAGTAAAATATTTAATTTAAAATGTTTACTAAGACAGAACATACATCATATTTAGTATAATGCATAAATAGAAAAGGAAATAACAAAATACTTACCACAAGAACCATACAAGTGCTTTCTCTAAGAGCACCACAGCAACCCATGAAAGCTATTACAAAAATAAGTATCCCAACAACAATTAAGAGAGTTGCTGGTGAAAAATAACTTGGATCCAAAAAATGCGAGAAATCTTCATAAACGGCATAAATTGTTGTTCCAACAGATATTATCATTATCCCTGTTAACTGTAAATAAGAAAACACTTAAGTTATATAATTCTGTAAGAAAATTTGGGACATATAAATTAAATTTAATACCTTTAAGTGAAAAATATTGAAATAACAAATTATATTACTTTTATTTCGAATAATATTAATTGATTGAATTTGAGAATATTTTTTTATTGAATAATTAATCGCTAGAATTACTTACATAAACGAAGATCAATCTATAAAAGATTTATAATGTAATATTTATAATATATAACTATAAAATTACGAAATATCGTATCGTTATATAAATGAAGTCATATATAAAATTTTTAACTAATTTTAAGAAATGAAAATTTCAAACTTTTAATACCAAATTCTAATGATTAGTCATTTATAAATACCTCTTGAACTTGTAAAATTAGTTATTGATATTTTTGATATTATCATTGTTAAAGATATTATAGTTTTTTATTGTTAAGGTCTTATTTATAATATAGTTTAAATATATATACCTACATAAAATGATAAAGAACAATTGTTAAGAAAATAAGCTTTCATTGGAATTGACAATTATGGTATGATGTAATTCCTTCAATATAATGGAACTCCATTTCATTTCATTGTAGCTACGTCTGTATTTGAAATACTTATATATTTTGTTAATATAGAAAGATTATGTCGGTAAAAACATCTACCACATATGAAGATTTTATTATTTTAGTAAGTATAATGTATAAAAATTTAAGAATATTTAAAAAATTTATATAAAATACAGTGATAATTTCAAATTTTTTAATCCAATTCTCTTTTTTTTTCAAAAATATGTCAAATACATTTTAATATCTTAGATCTCTCAAAATGTTTGAATAAGCAATTAAAATTATCATTTTATAGCTGACATTGTTTTGTACCGGATAAAATTTAAATTCGATAATTTTTTGTATAAAAACAAAAAATTACAAAAGTATTCGTATTTTAGACATTCAATAATGTCAATTTCATTTAATAACAACATTTCGAAGCTTACATGAATATTATGTCGCATAAAGTTACTAGTCAAGTTTCATTTAAATAAGAGTTTAGTAACATAATTTTCTATTTTCTCGAACAGGGGTTGTCGAACCCGTATCATTTAAAAACCATATATATGTATATATATACTCCTTTTGCTTATTATAGATATCTATGAAAGTAAAATGATGGAATTCTGTTATCATTCTCAACAAGATTACAAGTTTATCTGTGCCGATAAGAGAAGTCATTTATGTTTGCAAGACAACGGTTTCTAATTTTGATACCGATCATAGAAAATGAAAATTTTCATTCATCTTGTGAAACGACGAATCTGCTTCAATAATTTGACCTATTGTCAACGAACAATGAAAACATTACTTTCATCCCTTCTAAAATGTCGCGTCTGGTAAAATCTATAAATCTTTTGTTCTATGTATATCTCGTTCTCAATTATTTCGATGGAAAGTTTAAAATTGCAAATTTGTCCCATCACATAGCTTAAACATGTGCCTGTTTTAAGATCATTTTTCTTCGATTTATTGATCGACAAATGTGTAAAGCGGTCGAATGTGGGGAGAAAAGAGCGGAAAGGAAGAAAAAGAGGACAAGAGAAACATGGATGGCTCGCGCTGTTGCAAACCTTCTGTATAGTAATAATTCATCGGGGTCGACCTCACCCAGCCGATATCGATCCTACTGTTCGTCCGGACGACGGGGTAAGACTATGATCCACGTCCGTACCGAGGGTTGACCTAACTTGTTGAATCTCAGGGCCGAGTATGGTTATTCTCGTTACCTCTTCTCCTCGGACACGAGGGAAAATCGACATCGTTACAGTTATCGTCGTAGTCAGCCTCGACCCCATTTATCGTTCTCGCTTTTTCCCTCGCGACTTGATCAACGCATATTTATTTAATCGCGTTTTTCATTATTTAAATGAATAATCCCCAGCGAATTTTACTTCTATGTAAATATCGTTTATGGCTCTAGTTACTTTACTAGTTACTTTGTTTATTACTTTCACTTATTCTCATAATATTTTTTTTTACTTTATGGATAGATAACAAACTCGATTAATCATCCATCCGCATAACGTGTTGCAAATTGTTCAGGCGCGGTCTTTACGTTTACCACAAATTCCCTATCCCGTATTGTGCAACGATACATGTCCGCTTGGAAACTTCGTTACGGAAAAATAAATACAAATACGCGACTAGTAAAATAAAGTACAATATGTTTATCCATTAATCGCTATTATTCATTTTCCATTTAGGTGTATGCAATATATCTGTACCTATTCATAAGTGTTTCGATATATTACTTTTATCTATTATCGACTGGAAGGTTACGCTGGCGTAATTAACATAACTTTGACTTAGTCATCGTATGCCGATACTCGTCTATATGATCGAAAATTGATCGACAGTCGATAAAAGATTGCGAATAACGTAGAAGAACAAAAGAGAAAGATACTGTTGAAAATACGAAAGGAAACGAATCGAATCGAAAAGGAAATAATCGAACTACGATGGCTAAATGAATGAAATAAATATTGACTCGTGGCTGTGTGTACGCCATTATCCATGTAAATGAACAAATATTCATTTGGTTAAACGACGTGGCAGAAATCAGTTTGGTGTCCAGCAAACGCGACATAATAATCTTTGGACAGATGAAAAGAAGATGAAAGAATGTGGTTACAGACCACAAAGAGGGAGTTAACCGCGCAAAGCAGGTACTTGATGCAACGTAGACCAACGTCGAGATGTGTGGCAGCCATTTTGGTGTCCGAGAATCCACTTTCATGCAGGTGCACTACGGAACTGAACGTGGAAACACCTAAACTCGATTCGACGTATCGTATTATCTACTGATAAAGCGGCATACGTACCGACGACACACGTAGCGCTGCTTGCTTGCGTTTTTTACAACCATCGCCCAGCTTTTTTTCCTTCTCCGTTTCTCTTCTCTCCTTTTCCTTACTCAACGTCCATCTCGACCAGTCTTTCTGTATTTACAAAAACGCATGTTGTAATAAATATAGATATTGACTTAGAAAGCTAATCGAATTGTTTGAAAGGCGATTAAACCTATGACGAATTCTAACTCGTAGAAAATTGATTCAATACGATAAAACACAATTTAGAATGTTCTATCTTTATCGTAGTATATATTATCACCTTGATGCTTTCGTTATTTCGAACAATGCGAGTTTGGAGGTTGTATAGATCGAAAGGATAGGAATATTTTTAACGTAACGATGAATTCAAAAATCTACATAGTAAATATTATTTTATCATTAATGCGATTTCTGTGGCTAAAGTAATAAGTAAACGATAATATGTTTAATTATTCAAATACATTTACGTTGAAATTTACGTTAAATTTGAGTCACTTCGAATTCGACAGAAATATAATCTGGAATATTCTCCAAATTACATGTACATATATGTGTAATATTTGTAATGGCTATGTATCTTTCTTATGTTGAGTATTATTATCTTGAAGATAATATTAATACGGTATATAACATTTTTTACATTTCACTTTTTATATATTGGTATTTTTACTAAATTAACTTTTCATTTTTTATAATGTAAATTTTTTAATTGATAAATTGATATTAAAAACGATATTTGGTTTTTATAATTACGAAAATAATAATTTTATGACAATTATTATTAATTTTAAACTAATATGCTTTCGATATCTCTCTCAAATCTCTAAAAGAATGTTTGTATTAAAATATCCATAAAGACAATGAAAAGAATTTATTGGTAATAATTAATTATATATTTGTGATAACAAACAAATCTTTTTCGTTATTTGTTTATATATATATATACACGTTGCTGATTATCAATAAAAATAATATATTTTCCAAAATATAAATTTCACAATATATAAGCTTGGATATTTTAAAATGGAAATATCAATCATATAAATGACGTGGAATTAATTGAGCCACTATTATAATGATAATACTCCTTTTGTTGAATTTTGTTATTGCGACAAATTGAAAGTTAAAAGTTTTTGTGCTTATTTAAGTAAACAAATAAGTCAAATTTCAAATACTATGCTTAATTTCATTGCTCGTTTATAAATTTATTTCTAAATAAATTCTCTTTTAAATCAAGAATCGGACCAAAAACGAATATAGCATTCTAGCACTTGCAAAAATATATTTACGAAACCTTTTAAGTCAAATTTCAAATACTATGCTTAATTTCATTGCTCGTTTATAAATTTATTTCTAAATAAATTCTCTTTTAAATCAAGAATCGGACCAAAAACGAATATAGCATTCTAGCACTTGCAAAAATATATTTACGAAACTTTTATCAATTTTTATGCAATTTTAAACAAATTTATTAAGCATTAAATAATATAAAACAAAAAGATATTACAATAATAACTCACTGTTAATTTATAAACAAAATTCAATATTTAGTAATACCTTTAATGTAATACCTTTAGTAATACCTTTTAAATTCATATGTAAAAGATATGTAAAAATATCGTTCATTTATGCTAATATTAGAAGCGAGAAATGATAATTACAGCGTGAGAAAACTTTTCATAAAGTAGAAAGTCTATTATTATTAGTATATTATTATAAATTACTATAAATAAATAATATGATTTCTTCGGAAAAGCAAATTTCGAGCTTGCTGATTAAGAAACGCAGATTCCATGCATGTTTCTCATTTGCATTTATACACATCTGTATATTGAAAGATAGCGATTCCATTTCGTGTGCCGAAATCAATATAATTGAAAACTATATGACAGAAAACTAGCCAATGTAAAACTTACAATAAAGAGCTTTAAGCTGCCGATTTCGTTTCAACTAAAATCGATGCGAAAAGTGTATCATGGAAATCTACCAATATAAATCTTATAATGCGAAACTGACGATAAAAAGGAGGGGGTGAAGATTTTATTTATCTTTTGTTAAATGAGGTTAGAAAGAAAATTCCTCTGACATGGCACATTATTCGAAAGTAAATAGTAAAAGTCATACTGGTCGCGCGAACAGTTGATCTACATCATACGATATTTAGCATAAAGAGGTTGAAAGTGGTTGGCACTGGTACATCGACCGGCCGGTACGCCCGTGCGTGAAAATACGGAACATGACTCATGCGTACCACCGTGTGGGTAATTCAGCACACGTTCATTATTCATACGCTGTAAAGTATTACGAGTCGTGGTAGACTTTATTTCAAACCAAGAATTCTTCCTTCGTTAAAATGATACGCGATTTGATACCACGTCTCATCTTACTTATCTCCATTTAGCTAAAATTCATAACAAACATACAAACTCGCATCCAAACATATTCAAAAATGGCAATCGTGTTATTCAAATGATACATTTTGTATTTTAAGATAGATCGTTATAGCTTTTTAATATAACAGAAAGAATAAATGAAAACAACGTGTAATTCTATGTTTTTACATAAACTTGTGTACATGTAAGTGAACAATTATATAATATATTTTTTTATATAACTTTATATGTACTTACATACATGTTATGATGGACTCCCGCATGCGATTTATGTATAGATTCATCAGTACAAACAAAAGAAAAGTCTCATTTTTTCCCACAGACAAATAATAATTCATTGCGAATAAAGAATTCGAGATAAAACGAAGTTATTTTACAATCTTCTTTTTGGCATCGATGATTAAAAAAGATACTTGCTAATGAGTCTCGTGAAATTTGTAATATACATATGATTCGTTAAAAAAACTGTCATTGCTTTATTTAAGAACCATATGTTAGAGTGCTAAGTATGCCTAATATAATTATTAAATATCCGTGATTTTTATTAGTAAGTACTGTACCAACAAATACCAGCAAGTAATAAAGGATTTTTGTGCATGTTTATGCAATACACACGTAAGATTAAACAAAATATTTATTAAGATTCTATGTTAAAGAATACAATAAATATTTCACTTGTTAACTATTATTTCATTTAATGAATAATTAAAATTGGTGCTTAATATACTATACAATAAAAGTAATTGCAAGTATTATTTTCATACCAAAATTGTTATGTAACATTGTATATTTGCAAACTAAATTGAGTAATAAAATTTCGCTTAAATTATATTTGTAGTATTAAATTGTAATAATTAAACTAAAAATATATTACTGCATATTTGATAGAAATATTGTTAAGTATTAAAAGTTTTTAATTCCTATATGATATAAGGAAAATTATTATATAAGGGTTTCTTCTTTTATTAAATACCAAATACTGGTTTTATATTCCTTTATTTCGTACAAATCTTGTTGGATACATAATATTTTCTTTTCTGATATAGATTTTATAACTTTTACATTATATTTTATCAGAAGTATTGTATACACATTAAGAAACAGTATATCCTATTAGAATCCAAATACCTAAATATATTCTCTTTTTCATTTTTGTTATAAATAATATTGGAAAATGGTTAAAACAGAATCTCCTGAAGTCTATTAAACATAGTCTAAGACAGAATTAAGACATCAAAACAGAACTGTCGAAGAAATATCACATACCAATGAAAAAAATCTTTTTACGTTATTTCTTTTTATTTATTTATTTTACGTTATATCTTTGCACAAAAGTATATGCCTTTTACCATTGCATCTTGTGTAATAGACAACAGCCTATTACTTCGAAAGCCATAACGAATCGAATTCGAATCGAATCGAATTCGTGCTACTACTTCTATCTATTATTACTCCATAAATAATTGAAAGAATATTATAATTTATGATTGTTCGTTTTGAACAATACCCTTTGAACGCTTATTAACATACGTTTATAACAACAATAAGTTCACATACAACGTAATTTTAACATTAAATTTAGATTAATAAATTATTATTATTACTTTTTTTTATTATTATTATATACATAAATTAAAATTAAAAAGTGAAATTAGAAAGATATTTTCTTGTAAGAATGTAAAAATATTCTTAAAAAAAATTCTAAAAATTATAACAGTGGAGGACATTTTTTCAGCTAGCACGTTCCTTTTTTAAACAGTTTAGATGTTGTATTAAACACTTCCCAATAACACTAGAAATAAAAAAGATGTTTAGGTATTTGAATTTTGCTGGATACCCTGTTTACATTGCAATATAATATCACACCCAACAGCTTCTTAATTTTATAATAGTAAGTCTTATAGAGAATACCTTTTTTACGATAAATATTTTCTTAACATTCTTTTTAACATTTTCAACGTTTTCGTTTATAATCTTTATCCAGTTAAAAATATCTGTCATATATGCATGGTCATATATGTAATGTATTTTTAAATCCTTGAAAAATTTTATACGACCTCGTAACTGTTTTTAATCGACTTTGCTAGGAAAATTGAGAACCAGATTCCTATTGCCTGTAAAAAACATCAATACGATTGTGATGATTAAGTAGTTTTTGATCTTCTTTTTTTTTAATCTTTCATTCGCACGCATGTATCAATTACCTGAACGAAAGCAATGCCAATACCAAAACCACCAAGTTGCAAAGCGTGAGACTTAATGACGGAAGCAAACTTATTATAACAACCTCCGTGCAGTGTTTTAGAGTCAAGAGTACAATCTGTCTCGGTATTCATACTGACTTCATCACAACATGATGAAGGAAGAACTGGTTTGTTCAAACTACTTGTCCAATCAGACGCGTTTTTGATTCCACAACAATGGAACTAAAATAATGAATATTAATATTTATATAAAATTTGTAACTTTTACTTTCGTGCATTAGAGTAATTCTTTAAAAATTACAACTGTCACGAAAGTAATTCATGTAAATTCTAATTAAACATAAAAAGTAAAAAGCTTTAAGAAACTACAAAAAAGATTTTACATCGGTCTGAAGATTATTCCAAATATATTGTATCTCTGTACTATTTTCATATAATTTCATTGAATCCTTCATTTTATCTTGAATAATCGACGACGCCCTGGCTCTCAAAACGTATCCGGATATGCCACCTGCGAGCTCCAAAATAAAAACGATGACCAGCAACGACGTAAACTAGAATCAAGAAATTAAATAAATGGAAGATTGATCAAAAAATGTATCATCTCAAAGTGAAAGAAACGAGTTTATTATTAAATTATTTTGATTTATTAAGAATATACACTGAAATAAAAATATAAGAAAATATATATTGAAATAAAACCACACAACTCTAAAGAGAAATAATTCGTTATAATATTATCTATAATTTACTAAACTTTCCGACTATAAAAGCAATTTCAAAAGATAATCAAGAAACAAAATTTTATGAATAATATAAATTACCGTAATGATCATGCAATAATTTTCACGAACAGCGCCGCAACATCCGAAAAAGGCAATTAAGAAGATAATTGCACCGATCGCAATCAACAAGGAAGGAACTGATAAAAATTTATTATCCAGGAAATGTTCATAATTGTGATAAATTCCATGGATCATAATGCCAATGACTAACAAAATTACACCCGTAATCTGAAAATAAGAATATTTTGCATATAATTTCTTCTTACCTTGAATTAACTACAATTTAACATTTTTTAAATTGTAATATTATTGTTATAATAATAATAATTAATTTCTTCCCAAATCCTTTGATCTTCAATAAGTATTAGTTCGTTATATTCTTTCAATATTTGTTATAACAATTATTATTAGTTATTACAAATTTATTTTTTGCAAATGGTACCTAATGATTTAAACAAAAACTTTTTCAGACATTCCTTACTAAATTGGGACAAACCCCCTAGTCCCCTAGAAAACATACTATTGAACAAACTCCCTAGTTTTATTTACATTGAAAATTGAATCAATAGAAAATCAAATTAAAAGATCCTTATATCCAATTACTCACTGTTGGGAGAAACGAGGCTAATACGAAGCCATGATCTGGAAGAATCTAGATATGTACTTTGAACAATTCGTTATAAATTTTTTAAAATACGGACTATTAATGATGAAACTTTTATTAAGTGTTTTGATATATATTTATAAATTGTAAAATATATCAGTCAGAACTTTTTGATTAAAAAAAATTTATAATAAGAAAATCACATCGAAATTGCCTGTTATAATTAGACTTTAAAATAAACGTTACAAAAAAGGTAATTTAAGAAATTACTTTTAAAAATTTGCAATAAAACCAATCTTGGTATTACAAATAATATTAATTATATATAAAACATAATATTATGTGTGTAACAATTATTTTCTCTAAATAGTTTTAATTATTTTATAAGATGTATTTCGAAATAATTCATCTAAATCATGAATTCAAAAAAAACCATTTCCAATCATAAGTTCCATGTTTTTTAATGCTGAAAGAAAGTGTTATCATTCAATGGGTGATACACGATGCAATAGGTTATATATTTAACTGCTACAGTTATAAGTTCACTATCTGTTCACGTAGAATAAACCTTAATTTTAACTGCTGCGGTGTCCGAGCGGTTAAGGAGATGGACTTGAAATCCATTGGGTTCTACCCGCGCAGGTTCGAATCCTGTCCGCAGCGAAATTTTTTCTTTTTTACAAAACCATAATTTTCAAAATTCTTAAATATATTTACTTACACAATTAGATGTCGCTTGGAATATGTAATTTTATCACATAAACTGTACAAATAACAAGTTTATATCTACTTTGATACAATAATCGTCGAGTTCGATAATTTGCATTATCAACTTTGTTTTTGCTTATATATATATATAAAATTCTATGAATTTTTATTAAAAAGAGAAAAAAGATTTCACTAAATATAAAATACTTATACATAATACACGATATGAAAATAATCTTCTAATTCCCATTCGTATTCAAATTCGTATTTTTATTTTTATGTGCATATTGTAGACTATTACCATGTTATAGATATTTGGCAACTAAATTGTGAACGCAACAAAATTACCTATTCTAGTACAGAAATACGTATGTATTTACAAAATAGATTATTAAAAAAGCTTTATTCGTTTTCCGATTTTTAAGTTAAACTTTGGAATGTATTTTATATAATCAATATTACATATAATCATTATTTATTGGCTATTTATAGTATGACTCATATAGTATGATTCAATATCTTTGCTTCGACCAAATCCATGTACGTATGTATGTATGCATAAGTTGTTAAGAGTAGGAAAATAAAACGCAAAAGTGTAATGATAAAGAAGAAGGCGGATTATTTCATTATAACATCTATCTATTATTAATTTTATATTAAAATATAAATACTGATTAATATAACATTTAAATTCTTCTACTGTAATATCGTATTATTCTAGTAGCATCCATAAGAATCTATATCGATATTTAGGTTATAATTAGGTTAGAATAAAATTAAAATAAACTTTTTGTGCTATTAATCGAAATATGTTATAAAAAAAAGGCAATATAACAACATCGGACAATTATATTGATAGAATCCTTACGATCCAAAAAGTAAAAAGCGAATAAAATCACATAATTATGATAGCTTTTTGAACTACGTTGTACTTTCAGTATGGTTCTATAATGAACAAACATTTGAAATAAAAATGTTATCGTTTATATAATATGAGAAATAATTCAATATCTTGACAATCTCTTTGGAAATTAAATACAGAACGTATAATAACAGATTTCATAAATTACTTAGAAGCTAAGGATTATTAATAAAGGAAAAAAGATTACTCACAACAAAAAGTAGATTGAAGATGAACATGAGATATTTGACACATTGTGAACCAAGAGGTAATCTCATTGTGTTAACCATATTTTTTCTTAAAACTATACGAGATCTTATTACACTGTTATAAAATATAAAGGATTAAACTACGTTATATTTTTCTCACTTCACCAACGTTAAAAAAAGGCGCACAAACCAGCTAACAACATTACAACGATTCACTACTTTGAGACAGTATCCAAGCGCATGCGCATTTGTAATACTCTTAACCAAGGTTACGAAACATCAAAGGTTACCAACCGCAAATTCTTTTTATACATTTCATACATTTTATCCATTTTGTTATACTACCATTATATTAATTCTTAATCCGATTGTTACCTACTATAAGTATGATTAAAATTACTTAAGTTGGAATTTAAAAGTACATAAAAACAAGATCGAAACTACGTATTTAAGGAACCAAATAATATATAGTAATATATTTTGTGTGCTATACACGCGCGCGCGCGCTTACTCACATACTCACTCACACCCGCGTGCATGCTGAATTATATACAGTGTGAGCCAAGTAATTGAGATGAATTTCATCTCGAATATCAGTACAAAATAAATTATACAGTAAAATGTTATATAAATTTGAAAGGTTTTCATTTCTACAACTTTACTTGAAATAGTGCACGTATAAAATTTAAATACATTTTTATCTTAATTCGCATTACATACTTTCTTCCAACATATTCTTATCTTTGAAACACTATGTAAAACACAGTATGAAAGTATAACATTAAAAAATTTATGAGATCTTTAAAGCTTTTGATGAATCCACCTATATATTTTGAACACTAATTTTAAACACTTACAATCATAAAACATGTTACCGATCTTCAACATTTGACCGTTAAAAAATAAATTCTAACGACCAACGATACTCAATTAGACATTGAGTATTTATTGTTACAGTAAATTTAAATTATATGTACAGAAATTATCGCAGAAGATATTATCTTTTATCAATAGTTAATAGTAAAAACATTGTTTACTTGTTTTGTCCATTGAAATAAATATTTCTGAATAGTGAAAAAATGTATAATAATACATCTTGATAGCGTATGACCGACATGTACTTACATGTACATAAGTTGGAATATAATTTATGAGCATACGAAACTTTTTTGAAATCGACGTGTGGCGAAACAAATTGTAAATGTAACGATGATGCTAGATTATATAATGTGTTAAATTTAATGTGTAAGTTTGAATAGGAATTAAAGAATGAAATATTAATTAAATTCGCATGAAATAAATTTTAAAAGCTTAAAAACTTCCTACATACCATTTTTCTACCAGACTTTTTTCACTCGCAAGTTTGAAATACAACACATGTGATTTTAGCAATTTCTTTTTTACGACAAATAAAGAATGATGTAAATTTTTCTTAAAAAATTGTATACGCAAATTAATATACATTTACAAACAATAAAACTTTAGTAAAAATTCAAAAATAGATATACCTCAATTAAAATTTACTACATTTGAGATATTATTATTGAACTATATCTTCTTTGTAGATAACGCACTAATGAAAAAATCATGACCCTTTGATTTGATTTTAACTTGGTTTTTTTTTTATGAAATTACTTCAAAGCTGAAGTATAGTCACTTTTATCTATTTTTGTGAAAGTTTAAGAGAATATATTTTCTATGGATAATACAATTTAGAAATTTGAAATTTGTCACGAAATATTAATTTCATTGACATTATATCTTCATACATATTCTACATCGTAATATTTAAATAAGTAGATAATTCAAACATGAATCATAAATAATTTTAGTTATTACATGATTAATGGAAATTTACAGAAAGCATTGCACACCTACATTTTATATAGAGATAAAAATTATTGCATTATCGTTATTATCAACAAAATTTATTATTAATACCATCACAATAACAATTACATAAATTATGTTTAATTAGTAAAATAAATGAAGAATACTACAATATATAATACGATATTTGTGCAATAATACAATTTTCTTTATCCTAATCAGAACAATACAATGTACATACATATGTACACATACGTATGTAGTGTATGCTAGAGGTATAATAAAATACAGGTTATGTACGAACGAAATAACACATTTATTATTTCTAACAATAAAGAGTAATCCTTTTGTGATTACTTACTTTTTTATATAAATTAACATTTAATTACAATTATGATATTATCGCTCGTATTTAGTAAAAAGTACAAACAATACAATGTGTACACTATAAAACTATAGGAACGTTGACAAAATTTTAAATTATTTTCTATAAAATTTTCTCAAGACAAAAGTTGTATATACTATCAGTCAAATTACGCAAATTGCTTATCTTTTTTTATTAATTTTATGAAAATTAAAATTGTTAACAAATACGAAATAAAAAGATAATGTGAAATTCTTCGTATTCATATTAATATCTGTAATATAATAAAAACTGAAATTTAAAATAATGATTACAATAGTTACATGAAAAGTTAATACAATTTTAAGCGGTAAATCACAGGTATCATATCGAACTAGAACAGGTAACGTAGTGCAACATTCCTATTATAATACAAAGAATCAATGTTCAGACATTATAAGATCAAACCTGAATACCAGTGACATACCATATGACTAATAATTCTATATACATTTTTTTACAATTCTTGTTCAAAAATGCATATTTCTTATTATTAAAATAAGTGGATTAATTCTATATTATCTTCAAAATATTTTTATTAAAGAAAATTGTTATCAAAAAGTTAAACTCTTTTTATAAAAAACCATTAATATACAAAAATATTTCATTATGAGAAAAAAATGTATATATAGATTTTAGATTAAAAATAAATTGACCATATTTATGTAATCTGAGAAAAAATATTATTAGAAGTATATTACACGATCTACAAAAAATAATAAAAAAATATCATTTTACATACTATTATTATTTTTTAATTCCTCTTGATTTGCAATTATTACTCAATTAAATGGTAAATATTGTACTCTAATTTCAAGATTTTTATTGAATTTGTGTTAGTGTAATTAAAAACGCATAAAGGGGGTTAATGATTGATTAATATGTACATTGTACAATTAAGTATTATGCATAATAAAATAAAAATGAAGTGATCAATAATAAAATTGCACCGTTATTCGCCATTATGCATTGGTCAGGTGCAGAGTTGACGAATGAAGTTGCATCGTATGCGCTCAGGGACGTCTTATTATATTTTAGATAATAAGTATTAATTAATAAATTGTTAAAAGAGTACAAAACAAATTATAAATTATGTTCATTTTTCTGAAAACTCAGAAATTTATTTACACGGCAACAATAAGTTTCATAAAAATCAATCTAGTATAGGATTATAAACCGAAAATATGCTAACTAAAAAGATAATTTCATATAAAAAATGATAACTTACATCATAACATATATAACAAACTGAATAATAAAAATTAAATATTTTTTTCTGAAATCAATTGTAAATATAAATACAATCGCTTTTATTTGTATATATCATATTTCGCTACACTTGACTTATAAGGCAACATTCGTGGATGCTGTTTCCTTTTATGCATTTCATGAACTAATATGTACACTTCCGTTACATATTCACACATTATTACATCTAAGATATTTATTTGAGATTTATTTATTTAAATAAATAAATATTTATAACTACTACATTTTAAATATAAAATAATATTCTTCTCTAGTAAAAATAGCTTTTTAATTATCATAAAATAAAAAATAAGGAACATTTAAATTTATATTATTAATATTATTATTAGAAATACTATAATATTATTGGCATTGACTGAAAAATTAGAAAGTTTATATAATAAAGTTTATAAAATTATTACATTTTATATAAAACTAAAAACATTTTTAGATTTGTGGAAAAATTAAATTTGTATATATGAGACCTTAAATTTTGATAAAAATTATGCAAAATTATAAGAAATGAAA